TCTCTCTCTCTCTCCGGATTTTTATAAATTCAGTAACCCCTCTCTCTCTCTCTCTCTCTCTCTCTCCAAATACAATATGTAATTGTATATTTAAAAATGTTTACAAAACGTTTTACTGGCCTCTCTTCAAATCTGATTTATTGAAGAGTGGAATTAGGATGTTCCTGATCGTTTGAATTGAGATAATTTACAGTTAGATAAAGTAAAGTAGACACTCTCTGTAAGTTATTAGTATGGAAATTTGGAATTCACTCTAAGTTAGCATTTGAAGTTAGAAGTATGGAAAATAGCAACTTATTTAATGTTTGAGTATTAAACCAAATTAATTTAAGTTATAAGTAAGAACACAATCCAAGTTAGGAGTATGGATAGGTGGAATTCTTTTTAGGAGGAGTATAGAAGTAGGTATTCCTTCTAAGAGAATGGAAGTCGGCATATACCTAAGTGAAATTAGAAACTTTTTAGTAAAGTTAGGAATATTGTTAGAACAGCATTTGGTAATTAGGAATTTACTCTTAAAGTAAAATTGTGAACTTATTTCAAGTTAGGAGTAGGAGTAGTTAAACTAGCAGTGTGGAAGGTTGGAACTTATTTCAAGTTACAAGTATTGAAAGGAGTAAATTACTTTAAGTTTAGAATATGAGCATAGGAACGGAATTAAAGTAACAAGTATTAAATTTAGGAACTCATAGTTTTGTTTAGGGTCAAGAACTGCACCGCGATATGGATGAGAGATCTCTATCTGATGTCGGATTCAAGGTTAGAACCTCGTGCCAGGATTATATGCTTCTTCAGTTTGAGTTTCATTTGTTTGTTGGGTATGATTGGTGGGAGATGTCTTTTCTCCCCAACCACAACACTAGTTTTCCCCTTCACATGTTCTTGTACTGGGCTGTCAGTTGAGAGTGTTTTTTTTCAGTGATAGCACACTTCACAGTGTCAGAATGTTTCTATATTATCTATTGAAATATGCCCAGATAAACACAAGGGGATTAGGTGGGTTGAGGGAGGATGTTTATCTGAGGTTATGGCCAACGTTCTTGGAACCCCATTATCTGTGTTTGCTTACATCTAGGCATCATCTAAACAGAGCTGAAAACTTTAGAATGATGTTTAGTTCAATTGAGATGACACAATAAACACCAGAAAAAAAAACGGGTTTTCAAAAGTTAAAGAGTAAATCTTAATATGATACTTCTTTTTACTTCTTTCTTGGATATCCAATGCATATTAAAATAATCTCGGGTTTAGTAAAACCAGGAGTTTAAGCATTAATCTTGATATCCATCATACTAAAGTTTTCAGCTCAGATGACCCTAGGTTGGATAAGATGTGTATATAAATAGGAAAAGTACTGATGGGTAAGATTGACTGGAAGCCAGAAAACCCCTTAGCTATGTCTAATAATTGTGCAGGATATGCAGCTTGTGTTTGCAAATATTGGATCTACCAACAGACCAGGGCTAGAAAGAGCAGAGCTCCCTCCCTTTCCTGGCCGCAGTCAGGAAACTCAAACATATCTGTGTATTCCGGCATCTATTTTAAAATGTAAAATAGATGTAAAATTATTACAGGGTCACAATCATCCTCCATTCCCTCTAGGAGCCTAAATCCTATTATTTCCTTTATTTAACTAGTTTGTTATATGATTGTGAACCTATTTCTAATCATTAAAATGACTCAAACTTCTAAACAGCTGACTCAAACTTACAAATCTCTTAGGTTAAAAAGTTTTAGTTGAGATTATGAAGTTTTGATAAACATAACTTTAATTTTCTTTTTAAAGTTCCCAGCCCTGGCAAATTGGGATATTTTGAGAATGGGATTTTAACTTCCAAAGAAATGAAAAATCCATTTTGTTATGAGTGTTTAAACACTATAAAAATCTTGTACTCCTTTATTGTTTAAAAAAAAAAATTGTGACAGTACTTAATACTTTTTTTTCTTTGTGTTTTGGTTTGTAAAGTCATTTTTGTGAATTAACATTCCTTTATAAAGAGATGGGTTTTCCTTGGACCTGTATAAATAAGTTTTTAGATTAGTGGGTTTCATTGAAAATTGTTGCATACCAAATGAAAATTTTAACCCCTTAGGGATCCAATAACAACTTTGGGTTAGGCCCTTGGTTATATCATTTAAATTGTAAGTGGTCTATACATTTTCTGAGATTACATTATACATTTATGTTTTATGCCTTGATTGGATTTGATTATACGGTTACATTATCCTCATTGATAAGTTTGTGTTGCGTTAGATTCCAATGTTACTCCTGTTGGAGTCTAAACATTTTGACCAATTGTTCAGTCTGATGTCTAAACTGTCATCATTAACTGCTACAAGGTGGTAATCAAACAGATTTACTTCATTAGGACTTACCTGTCTGGCACAAGGCAATTAAATAGCTTGTTAACCTTTTAAAAACAAAGCAAAGCTTTCTTTATTATTATAAATTCTTCAAAAAATCATTTCTTTTATGTACCAACAAATTGTTTTTGTGTCCTTCAGAAATACATAAGCTGCAACAAAAAGTAGTTTAAATTGATTAGTGGATCTAATATCTTGGAATGATAATAAGAAGCCAAATGATCCCTTTTTAACCAAGGCTTTTCAGCCTCAGATGGTGCTGCCACATGTTGGAATCACAACCAAATAAAGACACAATACCAGTCTGAATTCATACCACCAGCAAACAACCAAACACCAAAGAGTACCTCAATTATAGGAAGGAAGCTGGTGTTTTGGATACCAGAGCTCAGATACTTTCCAGACGAGTTTGGGAAATAATATTATTACTGCCTACCAACCCAAATATTATGAGAGGATTACAGGTACAATTTGGGAAATCAGTTTTATTAACTACCAACCCAAATATTAGAGGTATAGTTTGGGAAATTTAGAGTGTAGGGTGGAGGTAGTAAACATTTTGGGTAATTTTAAGATCCTTATTGGCTTGTTTTTTCTCCTGGTCTGGTCCAAGTTATAATAGATGAAAAAATAAAACAAGTCTACTAACCTTGGTTTGGAATTTAGTTCCTGGTATCTGGTCTGATAAAAAATTGATTTATTGATTTAGGAAATTGATCCTAGTTCTGGATTTGAATCTCTGCTGGATCCTAACTCTGCTCAGAAATTGCTTTACTCCTTCTATATTATTGATTGGTTGGGAAGACCTGCTAGACTTAGACGCTTCTCAGGGACCCAGATACTCTAATTATCATTGTAATGTTTTGGCTATTCATTGCGTCAGTGTCAGTTTGGGAGCCAACTATGTCAGGGTCACAAGTTTGGTCGCAAACCATGTTAAGGTCACCAGCTTTTTGGCAAATTACATTTGGATCTTCAATTTGGCTGCTCATCATGTTGGGGTCACTAGTTTAGCAGCCAATAACGTTAGTGTCACCAGTAAAGCAGCCAATCATGTTTGGGTCACTATTTTAAAAGCCAATCATGTTGGGGTCACTAGTATACTATCATTATTATGATTATAATGAGTATCTGGAACCAGGCCTTGCTGAAGCCTCCTCTCCACACACTGGCCAGGAATGTTATATCATTTATTTTATTTTCTAAGAAACATTTTGATAATGCTTTTTTAAAGCTTCCATGTTGAAACCCATATTTTTGATGAAAATGATTTAACTGAGAAGAATCAGGTTCAGTCTGGGTGGATCAAGCAGTTTATATCTGCTGGTGGATTGAAGCATCTGTTCTCTGTGTTCCTGTCCGGTGTGCTGGGAAGGCGAGGGGATTCCTGCTGGTCAGAGTGGAGCCTAGATTGTCTAGGCTTCCTTCTTCGTCTTCTAGTTCAATTTGGAGTAGATCAGGTAAATCATGAATTTTGTCCAATGTGTTCATGATCATGTTAGGATCACATGTTTGCATTAAATCATGTTAGAGTCACCAGTTGAGCGGTAAATCATGTAAAGATCACCAGTTGGGTGGTAAATCATGTTAGGGTCACCAGTTGGGCGGCAAATCATGTTTGGGTCACCAGTTGGGCGGAAAATCATGTTAGGGTCACTGGTTGGGTGGCAAATCGTGTTAGGGTCACCAGTTGGGCGGTAAAACATTTTAGGGTCACCATTTGGGCGGTAAATCATGTTGGGTTTACCAGTTTGGCTACCAATTATGTTGGGGGCAATATATTTATCCAGTGGAAGGGGGGGGGGGTGACTCCAGCAGGTCATTGTTGAGCCTTTATAATAATAATAATAATACACATAATACATACACATATTGTATCAAAATTAATTAATTGTAGGTAGACGCTGATACTCTAGCAGATCAGTTAGTGGAGTCTACAGCATCTACTAAAAAGAGAAACAAGTGGATATTCTCTAGGCACACCAGACTAATCAGAGCCAAACTTTTTCCTTCTATTTTTAATTGAAAGGGACTGTCCATATTACGAGTTGGATTCCTGATTAACAATAGTACCCTCAGTAAAAATGATTCAGTTATCATGTTCTAGATGAAATTTAAAACATTTCATTTATGGTTCACTGTAAAATTGACTTGCGGATTTCTGCAGCCAAGACGATGAAAGAAATTTGATAATATTATTTTCGTTTCATCTTAGCAAATGATTTAATCTTCCTCATAGTTAATCCGACTTATTGCAAAATGGCAGTGTTTAAGATTAATTGATATTAGGTCGGAAGCATTTGAATTTATTTGAATTAACATGATCTATTTGATGTATTTTGTTTTATATCAAACACAGTTTTATAAGAGGTGTTATTCCAAGGGCGACTTACTAGGTGACAATTTCCCAAGTTGTAACTTCCCAAATGTGAAACCCGAGCAGTAACTTCCTAAAGATTTGGATAGGCCAATGAGGGTTTGAGAAGTTGGGGCTTGGGAAATTAGACATTTGGAAGTTTCCACGTGGGAAAGTACCCTTGGGAAGATGCCACTTGGAAAAATGCTTTAACGAAAGTCCCATACATCGTATAAGATAGGGACAATTGGGAAGTGGAAAGTTCAAAAAAAAATAATTATCACCAGCTTGAAAAACGAAAAATCCTTTTTTAACGGCTGGCTTGACACTAAACAAAATTATTAATTATGATTGAGAATCGAGCCAAACATAAATCTAAACTTCGGATTTCAACAATTTCTTATCTAATGTGCCGGCCGTGAATTCCTCTCATAGGCCACGCCTCTTCTGCTTATAAAAGTAGTTGCAACCTTATCTGTCCATTTAAAGCTAACCTGGAATTGTATTATAAATATGAAGGAGGGGGACAGTACAGTACAGTACAGTACAGTACAGTACAGTACAGTACAGTACAGTACAGTACAGTACAGTACAGTTCATTACAGTACAGTACAGTACAGTAAGTAAGTACGGTACAGTACGCGCAGTATGCTACTTTTATATACGGTAAGGTACAGTACGGTACTTTTCTGCAGTGTACGGCGCGGTAGTTATGTATATTATTGTACGGTACAGAACAGTGAAGTACAGTACAGTGCAGTACAGTACATTATTGTTATCTATCCATCTATCTTACCATCCATTCATTCATCCATTCATCCTTCTATCTGTCCATCCTTCCATCTAACCATCTATCTATATTTCAGGTAGATGAGGAGATGTTCTCTGTCTGCGGAATGTCCATCTGGTTGAAGAGTTTACTGCTGGAGGATCCAGATCCTAGTGTACGTAGAGAGATTTGTACTGGCATATATAGGCTCTGCTTAGGTAAGTACAGTAGGGTGTGTCATAGAAATAGTAAGTTTTCCAATTCAAATTCTACTTATTATATCATAAAGTGTATGAGTACAGTACAAAGAGTAATATCAAAAAACCATTTCAAAATCAAAAAATATTTACCTAAAATTTGCCATTTAAAAAAATCGCAATTTTATGACCAAACTACCCAATATTTTTACACGCGAAGCTTAGTAACTTTACTTCCTCTAGCATTCGATTCTGAATAATGTATCATGTCTATTTAATCCTTCGAAAAGTCAAAATCGCTTGAAAACCAACGATTCTAGAATATTTAAAAAAATCCATTTTGTTAAAAAAAACTAGATTTTTGAACTTTCAAAGTCCAACGTAGTTCAATATATACCAACATGCTCCAAGATATATTAGAATATTTGTTAAGGTTCTGCAAGTAATGGTAAAACTGGGTTGGATTGTATCTCTCCAGTATTGAGTATTCTTCTCCAGTACCTGGGTCAAGCACAGCTCATGAAACCACATCGCAGGTACACACATTTACCACCAGATTTCCTTTGTGTTCCCATATATTTTTCATTTCATTTATTCAGTTTGCAACCAATTTTCCTCCCAACTGTTTCTCAGTTCTAAACCAGTTTTCCATCAGTTTTTCACCAGTTTTTTACCAGTTTCCATTCCAGTTTTCTTCCAGTTTCCATTCCAGTTTTCCACTATTTTTTCATCCGCGTTCCACAACAACCACTTTTTTGCCAGTTTTTCCGTGCTTTTTCCATAAGTTTTTTTTCCAATTTTTCGCCAGTTTTCAAGCAGTTTTTATTCAGTTTTCTACTATACTGAGAACTTTCACCAGTTTTTCATTCGCTTTCCAATAGGAAAAATCGTTTCACGAAATTTTCAAAGGGGAAAAGGTCATAAAAATTCAATTTGATTTTATTGTAGGAATTTCGAACCCTAATTAGGCGTGCAGCCAAAAAATTGGAAGATTTGAACCAAAAATGAAGGCAGGGCCCCCCCCCCCTACATCAAATGTGCCAACTCCACCATCCCCTTTTTCGCAAAATTTTTTTTTCGCGACCATTTTGCTACATTTTTGCATTTTGTTTGCTCGCGAAAAATGCGAAAATGACTCACTATTCTTTCACTGGTGTTTTAAATTATTTTACCCGTTTTATTGTTTTTTTTTTTCCCACTATTTTTCAGCCAGTTTTCTACCACTCTTACGCCAGTTTTACCAGAGTATTTTATACAATTAAAGATTCAAAAATAATAAATTGTTAAAAAGTAATTAAATTGATTATTTCAATCTTATACCGTTTGTTAATTTTCCACCAGTTGTTTGCCAGTTTCTACTCATTTTTTACCTATTGTCCAACCTTTTTTGGTTTATTTTTTCTTATTTAGTGCGATTAAATGATAATTTGTGATTTTTTAATTTATGGAATAATTTATTGATTTCTTTATATTATAATTTATTGATTGGTTAATTAACAGATATATTGGTGGACTGATTGATTGATTGATTGGTTGGTTTGTTAATTGATAGATTTATTAAATGACTGATTGATTGATTGATTGCTGTATTACCAGGGAAAGTCTAATACAGCCAGGTCCAGAGGAGCCAGGGAAAGAACCGTTTGGACCGGCCTGTCGGGACTATTTCTGGGTCCTCGCCAAACTAGTAGAAAACATTAAGGTAGCTTCTCATTTTATTGATAATTTTTTCATCTTTTCTTCTGCTAATATTTGTTTCTAAAGGATAATTTTAAGAAAAATACCGAATTATTTTTTAATTGGTAAGAAATGTGTTTCCTTTTGTTAAAAAAAAGTCCTTTTTTAATTAATTTTTATTATATTTTAGGAAACCCAGGCAGTTGATCCAGAAGCACTTGTTCAGAAGCTTATTCATGGCATATCCACCAGGCAAGTTTTTAAAGTTTTCTTTTTGGTCAATAAACGTATTCATAACGTAACGTTACCTTACATAACGTTTCTGAAACGTTCTAGAAACGAAATTTGGTTTGTCGGGAAGCTTTGGGTTCTTACTAGTTCGTATCTAATCCGTTTTATCAGTGAAAGACTGCCGCTTTTGTCAATGGTAAGTTTTTAGACCGACATTTTTATGAGTGATGTAATGGCACTAGTTTATGATGTTCAATTAATAGTTCCTATTTAGACCGAAGGAAGGGCTCTAGTGACGATTAATTAATTAATAGTTCCATTCCACTGTATGCGAGATGAAATGGCGCATGTGACGATGTTTAATTAATAGTTCCTATTTAGACCACTGTATGAAAGAAGAAATGTCGCTAGTGTCGATGTTTAATTTATAGTTCTATTTAGACCACTGTATGAAAGAAGATATGGTGCTAGTGTCGATGTTTAATTAATATTTCCTATTTAGACCACTGTATGAGAGAAGAAATGGCGCTAGTGTCGATGATGCCCTAATAGGAATGATGAACCTACTTTGCGCTTTGCTCAAACAAACTCCTTCTCTCAAGGCAAGGAGTATTCAAACACAGTTGCTGATTTAATTTTTTCAAATCACATATTTTTAGTTTCCAAGATATTTACTCATTGCAAATATCTTATCTAATTTTACGTCGCCATCATCACTACTTATTAAGCACACTGGTTTTCTAGATGAAGTTCTATGGTTTTTGTGAAATATTTAAGCTTTTAAAAGAAACTTCTCTCAACTTAGTCCTCTGTATAGATAACCCCTCTTTTGATTTAACACAATCATTTAATAAAAAATCTTAAACATTTAAATTTAAATCTCAAAATGTTAATTAACACTTATTTTCATTGCTACTCTCTTTTATTCAGTACGCCTTGTTTATAAACCACTCCTTTATATTGAGGTGCAAGTGGGGTATTTTGTAAGGGGGGGGGGTGGGTTTTTAATTTTTTGAGTGTACAATTTTTAATGTATGGCGCCACATATTGAAATCCAATTTTTAAAATTATTCTTAAACAAAATCATGTAATTTTTATCATTTTTTCTGTTTTGACCTGTAAATTGTGGCCCTTCTTACCTTTGTATAAACTACTATTTACTCCCAGGTGTCCCCCGCCTGTCAGCAGTTTGTGAAGAAACTGTTCAGTTTCCTCTACGCTCTGCCCTCTCCTGGAGATAAACTGGTTCCTAAATGTAAATCTCCACAGGTAACAATAGTTTCCTCTACGCTCTACCCTCTCGTGGGGTTAAACTGGTTCCTAAATGTAAATCTCCACAGGTAACAATAGTTTCCTCTACACTCTACCCTCTCCTGGGGATAAACTGGTTCCTAAATGTAAATCGCCACAGGTAACAATTATTAAAGGGACTGTAAGCGTAATCTCAAGTGATCCATCAAACAAAGGTGGCAATCCTCGATTGACAACAGTACTCTAAAAGCTTCTTCTGATCAATAATTGAAATAGATATTAATTTTTATAATTTTAAAAACAGATCATTTTTAATTGTGATTTGTGATCAAAAGTGACTTCAGGAATCCATATCAGAATATGACACTTTTAAACCTTTTAAAACGGCAATATCTTCACATTATCAATAAGATGGTGTCAAAGGTATCGTTGTGAATTAGAGATTGCCATCTTTGCAAAGAGGGTCACTTGAAATTACGCTTACAGTCCCTTTAATTTATCAATTCAATACTTTTTTGCAAAGCTAATAATTAATCTTCTGTCAAGGAAAATGCTTTACAGCAAAAATATCGTCTTTGTTGTTCTCCCATCTTCGCCCCACCCTACTTATACTTATTTACAGTCATAATCAGAGTAGGCCCGGGATTAATTGACAGTAAATATTTATCTCTGGTAATTTTTAACGCATGAACAAAGGAAGACCACATTTTAATTAAAATCCTAAACTTTGTTGACAAGGATTAACATACAATAAACTAATTTTTAGTTATTAGTTAACAATTCATAAATACTGCTGGCATCTTAATCGTCTGAAAAGCCCCAATAGCAAGATTAGAATGATAGACATAGACATACATACACACATTACACTGGCAACCATTTTCTAAATATAATTAGAGACATCTAGTGGTAAAATTTTAGACTCGAAGTGCTTGTTACGACCTGGTGGTTGAACTGGTAAAGGGTTGTCTGGAAAATTACAAGGTTCTTCACACTCTTCTCATTCAGCAACATAACCCAGGTAAATTTTTTTATCTTTATCTTGTAAACTGCAATTTTCTCACATAATGTCTAATAAACCGAAATTTTCATGTGTTGTATCATAAACCGTTATTTTCCTTGTAGGGTTACATAAACCGTTATTTTCCTTTTTAGGGTCTCATAATCCGTTATTTTCCTGTGTAGGGTCTCATAAACCTTTATTTTCCTGTGTAGGGTCTCATAAACCGAAATTTTCATGTGTTGTATCATAAACCGTTATTTTCCTTGTAGGGTTACATAAACCGTTATTTTCCTTTTTAGGGTCTCATAATCCGTTATTTTCCTGTGTAGGGTCTCATAAACCGTATCCCTGGGAGTACTGGCCTCTAGAGGATGGTAGGTCAGAGTGTGGATATGTTGGGCTGGTCAACCTTGGAGCTACCTGCTATATGGCCACATGTGTACAACAGCTCTTCATGATCCCGGCTATACGGGATTGTGTACTGCAAACTGATGTACTGGGCGCTGCAGTACACCCGTTGTTTGGTAAACACCAAGCGACACTTCATGAGCTTAGGTTTGTTATTTATTATCCCATTAAATTTTTATAAAGCTGATGCATCCAAAAAAAATGTATGCTCTTTTGACCAGAGAGATTATTGATAAATGTAGTGTACCCCATTTCTAGTTGTACAATGTACAAAAAAGTTCCATGTAAAAAGTTCCTTAAATATGTATGTGCCTTAACATGAGAAATTATCAACAACCTAACATTTCATGGAATTGAAAAAGTACATAATCCATATTCATAATGATCAAATGTTTTGAAAAAGGAGCACAACCATATATATAGCAACTTTAAAGGAACTGCTGATTATTTTTGGGGGGGTTTCTGGGTAAACCAACCATGAAAAGAGGAATCTGAAGTTTTATTAAATTAGTTTGAATACTGAAAAATAATCTGATATAGTTTAAATACTTGTGTCATCGTTTTGTCTGCGTTGAATTAAAACTAATACCATTGCCTTTTTTCCTTTTTGGTTTACCCTAAATTAACCCAAACCAATGTTTGTATGGTCCCTTTCAGGGGATTGTAGGTGTGTGATGTTTGTAAATATCGCAGTGTCCGATTTACAACGGTACCCAGCTTTAACTGATTAAATATTAATTATATATCCTTGTTTTTGTTTCTCAAACTGTTATGTTTTAATTGTAGTTCCTCTGCAAAAGTGACTCGCCCAATTCTTGTCTATAAGAGACAATGGAGAAATTATAAGAAATAAACACTTTTCGAATCAGAAAAACGACAGTATCTTCCACATGTTTTGTCAGATTAAGGTTTCAAGGGTCAAGCATTGACATCTTTGCATGAAGGATTACTCGAAATTACGCTTCCAGTCCCTTTAATAAATGTTGGTCTAGGCGTATGTTTGCTTATCTGCTTGAGTCGGAGCGTAAGTCCTATAACCCGCTCTCCTTCTGTAAAACCTACACCATGGATAACCAACCTTTAAACACAGGTATGTCAGACACCAGAGGCCGAATTTAAAGAATTTTAGCCGCGGCTTAAATTTAAACCGCGGTTTAAATTTGCTTGGTTCCACTTACAATTGTATCACATGTTTTAAGATTTAAGCGGAGCTTAATTTTAACCGGGTTTTGGCGGATTTAAGCCGCGGCTCAAATTCTTTAAATTCGGCCTCAGATTTATTTACTTAAAGTGCTGTTCGTAGATTCTTTCTTGTTCTTTCCTTTTTCCTTTTTGTAGTTTGCTTAAATTTAGTAAAAGAGTAAAAGTTTCTTATCTTTATTCTTCGGTTATTTTTACACTGAAAATATAAATAGTGAAATTTACAATACTTTTAAGGACGAAACATATAACTATATAAACTTTATAAATCTACTAAATCTAGATGCCATAAAAGCTCAGACTAGTCCTTAGCTCCTACATCCAGGGTTCCAATACAACTGATTTAACTATAATCAGATGTATTGATGGTAACCTGGAAGTGAGAGTAAGCTCATTGTTTGTAAACAAAAACCGGAAAACTTAAGTCAGTGTAATTATAGGGTTGGTGAAACTTGATAATCACGTAACACATGGGAATCCAACTTAGGCAAGTTATAATGTGAAGATAGTTCAGAGGTGTACACATTTTGTGTACGGCAGTGAAACTGTACGGTCTCTGGTATATAAAGTAAACACAAGACGGATGTCACATCCTGATATGGAATCCATCTTTTACATAAAAAATCAACGAAATATTCTGGTCAAAGGAAACTATTATGTAAATTATCAAAATTATCAAAATTAAATGCTTTTATCCTCGGATACTGTTGGAACACTGATGCATATATTCTTGTTTACAAATACCGCCCAGGGAGAACTGGTTTCAATATGTACGCAGAGTATACGCAACTGCAATTAACTTTCCTTGCATTATTACCTTGGATCAGACAAATAAACTAGCAGTGATTAATACTTAATATATAGATATCTCATGATTAATACTTAATATATAGATATCTCATAATTCTTATTTTTCAGGAGAGCAGAAGGATATGGCCGAGTTTTTTATTGATCTTCTCAGTAAAATGGAGGAGATGAGCCT